GGAGCCGGGATTCCCTCCCGGAGGGGACGGATGGAGAGATACCCCCAGGTGTTTTTAACCAAACCTGAGGACTGGTTACAAGCTGCCAATTTTGGCAATTTTGGCTGGAACCATTTCTGTGGGTTTTGTTCCCAGGACAGAGATGCTGCTGCAGGAGCTGCCGGAGCCTCTCCCGCCGGGAATGCCGACTCCGGCATCGCTATGGCAACTCTATTTACGTCCCAGCCCCGTGTTATTATTTGCTCATGAGCCCATTTCTGGGCTGTTTGCTGGGAAATCGAGGCTGGAGAGCTCGTGGAAATCCCTGGATTCATCCACCCGACCCGCTCCGGGCGGGCTCGTTCCAGCCAAATTCTGGCGAGGCGGAGAATCGAAGCTCCGGAAAAGTCCCGTGGAAAAAAAATTAAGGAGGTGGATAAAGAGAAACCCCTGGTTTGCATCTCTGTTCTTGTCCCAGGGAATCTCTCTCTCGTTCCCCAAGGGAAAAGCCCACGAGCCAGAAGCACCGGGAATTTCAGCAAGGAGAAAATTAGTGAATGAAAACCAGAAAAAAAACCCCAAAACCCTGTTTTTACATTATGCTGCTCCCAGAGCCTTTGGTATCCATGGATTTGGGATCTCCCTGCGCGCTCCAGGGTGACCTGGAGGTTGGGATGCACTTATGGAAGCTCTGGGGGTCACGCAGAGGGGGAAGGAGCAGCTCCTTCCTTACCGGAACGGCTCTTCCCATCCTGAGCCTGGAGATCGGCGCCGAGGGACAGCAGCGTCAGGATGGTGCGTCCGTGTCCTTCCTGCAGGGGAACAGGGAATTCGGGATCAGCTCTGATGATCCCTGACCTGGGAGGGCACAGATCTGCCCTGTCACGGTCAAATCTGAGGATACCAGGAGCTGCTCCAAGGTCCTCTGGAGCTTGGAGCGGATGGAAGTCGTGGTTAGGTGCCTGTGGAAGTGCAGGTTGGATCCACAACGCAGGAATTCCCCTGGCACAGCAGGAATGCTGCTGTTATCCCATGGGAACGGGCCAGAGAGGTGCCACCAGGCACCTTCATGGAATCACAGGATGGTTTGGGTGGGAAGGGACCTTAAAGCCCATCCAGTTCCAACCCCAGGGACACCTTCCACTATCCCAGCTTGCTCCAGCCCGGCCTTGGACACTTCCAGGGATCCAGGGGCAGCCACAGCTTCTCCAGGAATTCCATTCCAGCCCCTCCCTTTCCTTCCCAGTATCCCATCTAGCCCTGCCCTCTGGCACTGGGAAGCCATTCCCTGTGTCCTGTCCCTCCACACCTTGTCCAAAGTCCCTTTCCAGCTTTCAATTCCAAATCCCTGTAACTCCCAGTTGCTCTTCCCGGGGTTATTTCAGCTCCAAGAGCTGTTGCTCACGTGAGCTGTGGATTTCCCAAAGGATTGCTCCAGGATTTGGGATGCCCTGTGGGATGACACAGCCAGCCATGACCCCCAGTGTCCTCCCTCCTTCCTCTGCCCGGAATTCCAGACTCCACAGGGAAGAACACAGCACAGCCCCCACCCTTCTCCTCTCTCCATGAATAAATCCTCTCTCCCTAAATAACACACCTGATCCTGGAATTCTTCAGTGCCATGAATTAGCCTCTGTCGTGCAGGATGAGAATGGAAAGCTCTTTTTTATCCCCACCACCCACTCCTTTCCCTCATTCCCACAGGATTCCATAGGATCTTCCCCATGCCCGAGGCTCCCCTTTCCCTGCTGCATTTTCCATGGCTCCACTCCCTTTTCCACGGCAAAGACGTGGAGCCAGGAACTGCTTCAGCTGCCACAGGCTGGGCAGCAAATTGAGTAGAAAAAAAACCCCGTAATTCGATTTTCCCGTGTTTAATAAATGCCAAAAGAAAAGAAGGATAAAGGAAAAGAAAAAACCCACCCCAAAAGAAATGATGGTGTAAATCCAAAGTGACACCGAGCCCGGGCGAGGGAGAGAATCCCATCCAACCTTTCCCTAATCAGCCAGGACGGAGCTGGGATCTTCTCCAAGGCACATTGTATTCCCCAAAAACGTCCCCTTGGCAACCAGAAGGGTTTTCTGGGAGCAAGGAAGGAAAGGGGAGCCGGGAGAAAGGGCTCCTTTGTGGGGCTGGATCCCGGCTGCCAGCATTCCCAGGGAGGTTTTTATAGGACTGGGGGCACTGGGATGTTGCTTTATTCCCACTGCAAGTCTAGACCGGGCTCTGAGAGCTGCAGGTTCGAGCCCAGGAGGTTTAAAATCCCGGGATCTGGGCAGGGATGTTCCCTGGCTGCTGGTTGCCAGCACGGCGTGGAGCGACAATTCCAGGCAGGAGGGAATCCTGGTCAGCAGGATTTCGGGATCTGCTTTGCAGGACTCGCAGCCCATCAGGCCCCGCTTCCCACGCAGGAGGAGGAGAAGGCTCCAAGGATTCTCACTGCCTGGAATTCAAAACAGCTCCGGAGTGAAGGACACAGATAAGCTCCGGGAGCTCCCCCCGCCTTCCCACGTCGGGGCAGATCCTGCCTCCCCCTCTGCACAGCTGGACACACTCATGGAATCATGGAATGGCTCGGCTGGGAAGGGACCTCTAAAGGTCATCTGGTCCAACAGGAACATCCTTTGATATCCCAGGTTGCTCCAACCTGGCCTTGGACACTCCCAGGGATCCAGGGGCAGCCACAGCTTCTCTGGGAA